CCTCAGCTCACCGAGCTTCGGAGCTTGTACTTCACTTTTTACACGGCAAAACTTCGTCTTTCTCTCATCATCATCATCAAGACTCTGCTGTCGTCCTCGTGGCCTCGTCCTCTCTCTCTCTCTCTCTCTCTCTCTCATTTGTATAGAAAGTCTCACTCACTCATTTATAATTGTGTCTTAACTTTTTGCCAGTGTGTGTGTAACTTTGCACAACACAACACACTTGCACCTCTACTTTGTATTTCTCTCGCCTGTACAAGCTGAAGTTGAAGAACTCTGGTGCACTGATCGCTGGTTTTCCTTCCTGAAAAAAGGTAAATTGCTTTTGTAAATTGCCGATGTACAACCGAACTGACAGATCGTCGAGGAGGAGGAGGAGGAGGAAAGCAGAGTGATTGGTCACTAACACTCTTTCTCTTTCTCTCTCTTTCAGGTCGCCCTGCTCAGTCTTGCTCAAATATGTTCGCCGTCTTTGTCCTCCTCCTCCTCCTCCTCCGTCCTCTGACCACCACCATGCGTTCCAGTAGCAGAGAGCTCCTCAATGTTTTCTAGGCCAACTTCGCTGTCGCCTTCGCCTTCGCCTCGGTCGCCGCCGCCAGTCGCTGACGCATCACCAACAGAGCAGAAGGAACAGCTTCGTGAGCAAAGGTGACGACAACGTGCGTGCTCCACATTGTGCTGTGGTGGTGCACTGTTATGCTTCACTTCGACTTGTGTGTGTGTGTGTGTTTTCACTTTCACTTTCACTGGTCGGCGCCGTTTTCTTCTTCGGTGACGGCCTGCTCACCTGACCGCAACATCTCGGCCACCGCCCGACTGCTGTTGTTGTCAGTTCTCGCTCTGTTTTGTCCCAGTCTTCTATTATCATCACCACCATCATCTTGGAAATCACCGTAACACCACCAGGACTTGTAGGACACCACGGCTGAGCGAAGCCCTCTCTTCTTCGGCGGTGTGACGCCCGTTGGGTGGTGAGCTTCCATCAAGATCAGCTCTCAGCGAATCACCACCACCACCACCACCACCACCAGTGCCTGTGATGGATCTGCAGAAACGCATCGACTTTAACCAGTTCATCAAGGAGAAGATCAACGAGAAGATTCTCAAGCGGAAGATCCTGAAGGGCAAGCTGCTGAAGCTGAACAGTATGCGCAATCTCATTGAGCGGCTCATCAGCAACCACCACCAGAGTCTCTACTACGTAAGTGTTTGGATTGGGTTGGAGATGAAAAGAGCCTTTTTGATTGCTTTTATTGACAAACTTTTTTCTCAATTTCTTTGCTTAGATGGGCCTCAAGCTGGACGACCCAGTGTACGAGGAGAAGGTGAAAGGCCTGGACGCCTCCCAGCAGGAGAAGGCCGACTTTTACCGCTCACAGATAGTTGGTGAGCACCTTTTTTCAACACCTTTTTTTATTAGGCTCTGCCTAACAAAAACTTTGTTTTTGTTCCTTTTTAACAGATCTTCGAAGGCAGCTAAACGACCTGCTGGTGGAGATAAAAACTACCTTCATCGAGTACAACAAGCTGTAGTAGATACGGTGGAGTGCGTAAGTGTGTGGGCGTGTATTTTCGACTACCTAACTTGTGATATTACTTAATTCTATTCCATTTGGGAAGAGGAGGAAAGTGAGTGGTGATGATGATGATTAGCCAACGCCCCACTTTCTTCTTTTCTCATTCCTCAAACCTGTACATTGCCACAACTGTCTCGGTGTCTTTCCTCTCTTTTTTTACCCTTCCTTTCCTCTTTTCGGGCAAGCTCTCTAAATTAGAGGTGATCATTAGAGGAAATCTGATGACCACATTTTTTTTNTGATTAGCCAACGCCCCACTTTCTTCTTTTCTCATTCCTCAAACCTGTACATTGCCACAACTGTCTCGGTGTCTTTCCTCTCTTTTTTTACCCTTCCTTTCCTCTTTTCGGGCAAGCTCTCTAAATTAGAGGTGATCATTAGAGGAAATCTGATGACCACATTTTTTTTGGGGCCATCTTTTCTTTGGGAACTAATCTGTGGTGTTGTCGTTTAGACTAACTTTTGGGCTCACACTTTTTTTGGTAACACTGATCTTTACACTAATTCTTTGTCACTTGTTTCTACCTTTCTGTTTGTACTTCTTTCCTTTTGCTACCCCACTGTTTACCCTTTTGCTACTTTTTGGGATTTTACACACTCTTGTCTGAACTGTTTGAACTGTATACTGATGTACACTTTTTGATTGATTACTTTCTGACGATTCTATTGAGTTGTCTCACTCTCTTTTTCTTTTGATACCAATGTCTACTTTTACTACAACTTAATAAAAAAAGACGCAGATAAATCGGCAGATGATCATCTATCCGCCGATCTAATTAACACCACCACTTCTTCTTTTTCTTTTGCTGTGCGAAAAAGACGCGACGCTTCGCAGGTGGTGGTGTCATTTTTGGAAGCAAAAAACGGAAGTAAAAAAAGGTGCACACTGTGAAGCAAGAGAAGCAAGCGAAAAATATTAATAGCCAAAAACCAAGTGAGAGCGAATACGGAAAAGAGCGCGGTGGCTGCTCTGTGCACTGAGCAGCCCGATATAAATATAAAATATAAACGAAGGAACGCTAAAAATACGTGCCTCGAGCCGCCTAATTACTAATATAGACCGATTTGAAATAAAAATCTCGTTTTCTACCGATCACAGACACACAGACAGACAGTTTCTCTTTCTCTTTCTCCTCTTCTTCTTCTTTTTCTTCGCCGTCCTTTGTCTTGCTAGTGCTAATTTTACCACAGGTGGTTGTTGTAAAAAAGATGCCCGCTAGATGGCGAGTGTTGCTCCAGGCCGCTTGCGACTTCTGTATTTTTCCCTCTTCTTCACCTCACTGTTTCCATCCCACGTGAAAAACTTCCAAGCGGGAGATTGTTTTTTGTTTGGTGGTTTTAGAAGTTTGTTTTTTCTCACCGGACATGGACAACGACGTCTTCGAGGAGGAGGCGCCCAATGAGGAGCTGGACATGGCGGGTAAGGAGCTGAAGAGGCGGCTGGAGTCGATTAAAACGGTAAGTTTCCAAGAGTTTGCCTGCTGGAAAGAGCTTTTCAAGAAGATAAACTTCATCTTTTCAGACGGCATTTCACGAGTCCTTTGAGCCGGCAAAGGAGCGATCACTGCAGCGAGCCTTCGACACCGGATACGGGCTAATTTACCGGTACTTTAAGGCGATATCAATGCTCGAAGCCGTCTACGAGTAAGTGTGTGCATGTGCTTCCACTTGATCAGTGATAACTTTTGCTTTCTTTTAGTGGGGCGTACCACTCTTTTGTGGAATCAAGGAGAAAAGAGCAAGCTGCTAAAAAGCAATTCGAAGACATAAAGCCCTCATTTGCCGCACTGTACTCTGAGCTGTTTGAGGAGTTCAGTCAGAAGATTGACTTCGAGAAGGGGGCCCCGGTCGTCGATGAAAGCTACCAGCCCACGTCGCACATTGTCCCCTCCGCCGAGGTGACCGAAAAGTTCAACTGTGCCAGGGCAAAGACGTTAGACCTGTGTACTCGGGCTGAACTGAACAGTCTCCGGGCGGTGGTGGAGGGAATACACTTGCCCTTAGAAGGTGCCACCGATGATCTTTCGTTGCGTTGATTTGTACAGTTTTCATATTTATTTTTTAAAATAATCATCAACACACATTCGGTTCATCTTGCGACATTAACAGACAGAGAGGCGATACACAGTACTTGCACACTTCTACAGCGAGTAGAGGCTGCCCTGGAAGACCAGCGCCAGACGACTGCTCGGGTGGTGGGAAGGAGTGCTTTTTGGGGAAGTTATAAATAATTATGAAAAATAGTTAAGCAAGCAAAATAAAGTTTAATCCACTAATGAACAAATTTATGTTAGTTAAAAATTAGTACAAAAATTAAAATCAAGTCAAAAGCCAGACAAACTAAAACATATTTCCAATCCTTAAAAGAATACATCAAGTATGGAAACCAGTTCCAAACTAAGCCATAAGTATTGTAATTCAACTGAAAGCTCTGTAGGTAGTAACCAAAAGGCGTTTCAATGGCACTTATATTTGATGCAATAGAGATGCATTTTGGGAAAGGCAGAGATGGTGGCATCAGCAGTGAGGTCATTTGATCAGTTCCAATGAGAAGAGATATATCCCCTTCTTCTACAGGGTGAAGAGTGATATTTAACAATTTTTCAATTTTTTTAGTAATAAAATAAGGTACTGTTGTTGTTTTAATGTCAGGAAGAGATTCACACATCAGGATTAGTTCATTCTTGGGCTGTTTATTACTGCGATTTCTATTAGGTTCATCCACTTGAACAGTGAATTTTCCGGTTTCTGTGACAGTTGAAATTAGTTTCAATTCTTTTGCTAATTCAGGTTTAATAAGAGATATGTAAGAGCCAGAGTCGATAAAAACAGACACTGTTTTCTTGTAACGTCCATTCGAAACAGTTAAAGGTAGCACTGAAGGTAAATCTTGAGTCATTAAATCAGAATCCACAATGACAGCAAAAAATCTGTACAAAAAATTGACCAGAAACTGCATGTAAATGAATCGCATTTTTTCTGCAAATTTGTAGAGTTTTTGTAAATAGGCAGTGTAGCTGTTGTAAATGCAAGGGATGTGTCTGCCAAATGAAACGATAATAATCGTTTGGAGGATAAAGGTGAAGAGAATGACAAAAATAAAAATAATGATCAAATGAAGGTAAAGGAAAAGTCCAACAAAAAAATCTGAAAAATATTTTTAAAATGAGTTTTTTAGAAATAAAGTATAACACGTTAAAAATTTACTTACACAAATATTCAGAATGTTTGTAAATAACAAGTTCATCTTTTAAAATATTTGCTAGTTTTTGCTTTTTTTGTACTGAGACCAAAGTGTCATTTGATAAAACATTTTGTTGAGATTGTTCGGGATACAGTGTTTTCTTCAATATTTTGTTTTTATTTGAGTTTAATTTCCATTTTGAAAATTTTTCAACATTGAAAGGTCCGGAAAAAGTGAGCCCCATTTTAGTGCGAATTATTACAAGTTTCGGAGTAATATGGTAAATGAGTTGATGCGGATGCATAAGAATGAAACGATTTAGTAAGTCTAAACCAAGGATCATGTCATATCGATACTGTGAACTAACAGAAAAATAATTGTAGTCAATTAAGTTGATAATAAACACACTGGCTACTTACTTTGGCTCCTCATTTGACCATAAAGTGTTTTTCATTGGTTTACTGACCATTTTCAGGCCCAGTGAAGCCATTTTAGTAATGAGTAATTTAACTGGTGTGTATTCTATATCATAAGAATATTTTTTATCTACTACAATAGAATCTGTAGAAACAATGATCGATTCATTTTCAAGTGATTGCAGTTTTACTCCACTAAGCGTACGAGTTTTTTGGCTAATGCCAGAATACCCTACTGTCTCAATTGGCCATATATACTGAGAAGTGACTCCATTTTTCTGCAATAAAGCTGCCAATTCATAATATACAAGTGTTTTAGAGCAGCCACTATCAATCAGTGCTCGAATGACGATTGCGTAGCCAGTGGGTGTGATCACTCGAAGAAGCAGAGTTGGTCGGGCACAAAAGTTAGTGGGGATACGCATATTAAGTATAAGCTTTGCTTCTTGTGCTGTCATTGGAGTAGTCGTTTCTGATGGCACAATAGCATTAAACTGCTTAGGAGTAATGCTAAAAAAATGAAGTAGTTTGAAGAATCGATGCGCCCAAATTGGATCAACTTCAAGTGTTCCAGAGAGGATAAAAATGCGAATAAAAACATGGTAAAAATGGGCTGCATTAAATGGAAATAGCAGGCGGATAGGTTTGGTGATATAGATCAGTGCGATCCACAATGAACTGTTGTGCTCAGTCATAGTCGAAAATGTCTGTTTTAGTTTAGAGAGGAAAACTTAATATTCATTAAAAATAAATCAAGTTTTTCGTATTATTCACATGAACTTTAAAAATTAACAAATATTTTTTGTGTTTTGTAGTTTTGGATCCTACTTTTGTTCTATTCTAAGTACTAGCCTCAAAAAGTGTACTGGACAAAAATTGAAAATTTTGCTTGTGAGGGAGTTTTAGACCTACGAGAAGGAATCCGTAAACATGCGTGGCTCCTGTTTTCCATGTCCTGCACTGCACGGTCTCTGGGCCCTGCTGACCATTACAGGAACTCATGTCTTTGTTTCTTGACCAACTCATAAAACCAAACTTTTGTCAGGCAATGTTGCCGAAGTTGCGCACTCGCTGAGAAGTTGCCGGTGCACTTGTGTGTGTTGTTTATGCGGCTGTTGCAGCACATGTGATCTCTGATTTGTTCTGTTGATTTCTGCTAAGAAGAAGAGCAAGAATCTCTTTCTCCTAATCAAAATGCCTCGACTTGTGCTAGGTAAGCCAAGAATAGTTGCAAACTAGTTCTCCGATGCAACACTGACAACATTGAACACTTTTTCCCCCACTCTCCAGCCAAGTGGCACCACAAGCGCTTTCCGACGGTAGGCAATCAAATCTTTGACAACAATCACTGAATCACAACAACAACAACAACAACTTTCCTTTCCCCTCTAGACGGAGATCAAGAAGCTGATACCGCAGATGCCCTACCAGATACCGGAGCATCCGATTCGGGTGCGCAGCGGCACCGGGGAGGAGCACCTGCGTCGGCTCTTTCCGCGCCAGCTGCGCCTGAAGGAGATCGCCAAGTCGGTGACGAAGCTGGTGGACCAGGAGCGCATCGAGCTGCCGTACTTTCGCGCCTACGAGACGAGGAACTACACTGAACGGGTACGTGGCGAGAGTGTTTAGTCCTCTTTTCTCTAGTTTCGATTATCATCACCATCTAACGGTTACTTTTTTCCCAGCTAATCGCCGAGGCGATGCGCTACGGAGACTGCCACAAGCCGACGATGGAGGTGGCCAACTTCTACCTGAATGTAAGCAGAGCTGTTACTTTAGAAAAGTTTTTTACTAATTCTTTTCGCTTTTTTCTCTAGGACAAGACCCTGGTGCACAAGCTCTTCAAGGTCCTCGTGCCCCGCTACCTCAACTTCACCACCTCCTTCACGGCGATGCACCTTCTGCCGGGAATGGAGATCGACTGGAAGGACCCGAAGGCGACGCGGCACCTCGGCCAGAAGGTGGTCCTAGAGTTGAAAGGTAAGTGGGAAGTGTTGAAATGAAAAAACGTAGTGTTTCTAAATCTCTTTCTCTTTTTCTTCAGGCAATCCCTACCCGAGCATCTTCCCCGACCGGGTGAACAACAGCAAGAGTCTGCTGCACAACATTCTCCTCGCCGAGGCGTCCAAGGAGTACTACCGCAAAAAGACTGCTGCTGCTGCAGAAGGCAAACCATCTGAAGTCGATTGAGCAAGTCGTGTGCAGCAGCAGCCTCCTTCTTCTCCCCTCATCTTTTGTGCAAGTTCTCAGAGAGAACGGAAAAAGTCCCTCTTTTTAATGTTTAGAAGAGTGGGAAAAAAGTAATATTATGCAACACATAGGTAAAATAATTAAAAAAGGAAAACAGACAAGCGTTGAGGGGAGTTGACTAGGGCTGGACGCCGTGACTGAGCAGGAGAATGGAGACCGCCTCGGTGGCGCCCTTCAGCCGGCCGATGTACTTCTCCACGGTCGTGGTGATGAGGCGGACGCGGTCCGCTTGCGGAAGGTCCGCGTTGACGCCGCCGTTGTAGCCGAGCAGCTCCAGCAGCGAACCTCGACTCGGCGCCGCCATCAGACAGAGCGAGAAGATCTTCTGGACGATCCAGCCGTGGTGCTTCTTCAGCGACTGCTCGTAGGCGAAGGTGAAGTGCCGGCTGATGTCCTCGGGCAGCGGCTCGGTGGTAGTGGTGGTACCAGAAACCTGCCATTCAAGGTACTCCTGGAGAAACTGCTGCAGAAAGAGGAGATTATAGATGAGGGCTCGATTCAGCCAGGTGAGTGCATCGGTGCCAATGTGAAACTCCGACGGCTGAAGTGTCTCCTTCTCCACCTTGACGATGTCGTTCAGGTGCTGAAAGGTAACACAACAAACACAGGCAAACAACATTTAGCATCGAGGTGATTTAGAAATCGAAACTCATTACCTCGTACTTTGCCTCGTCCGAGCTGTACAGCTTGCTCAGCTTGGTGATGTTGCCGTCAATGTCGCTCTTCACCGGCTTGAAGGTGGTGCCGAGCAGGTCGACAAACTGGACGATGCACTTCGCTGACTCGAGGTACTCCGCCGTCTTGAGCAGCCCGTCCGCGGGAACCTCCGCAAAGGGGAGCACCTTCTCGAAGAACACCTCCTCGGTGGAGCTCTTTTCAGCGGCCATTGTGTGTTGTTGTTGTTGTTGACCTCACAGTCTACTTGACCACCTCCAGCGACGCCAACTTTCGTCGGATAAAGTTCAGCACTGGTTTGTGTGCTGGCTGACTGAGAAGTGCCTAAAGTAAGCAAAATGCGGATGAATGAAAGAGTCTCATTATTTCAGCAAGAGAGTACCTCTGTGACGTCCTTTCCTCGGTTCTGTTGGAGAATCGCCTCGCCGCCGGGATGTATCTTGGCGTACTTTCCAATGTCGTAGGTCTACCACGAAGAGAGAGATCAAAACAGAACAAATTAGAGCACACATCAAAAGCAGAAGCAAAGCCAAACTCTTACCTTTCCCTCAAAAGTCACCAGCAAAGTGTCCGGCTTCAGTAGATTATCAGTGGACGACGAGGAAGGAGGCTTCGGCTTGGGCTCTGGCTCACTATTGGCGCTACTGGCACTTTCATCGGTCATCAGAGAAGGCTGCTCAGGCTGCTGCTGCTTCGCTGCTTTTCCACCCATGCACACCACCGCCACGGGACTCACAATGATCATCAAACGCACCACCACCAAACAGCACACTCCTTCTTCAGACAATGGATAACTTTTTGAAGCCGAAATTCTATTCTCTTTTTTGTTTTGACAGGCTTTTCTTCTTTTTTCTGGCATCTATTTCGACAGGCGCTGTTTTGGTGTTAGTCTGCACTGCACTGCAGTGCGTCGAGTTGACCTCTTCACTCGACTCGAGATTGTTTTGTTTTGGTTGTTCAGCACCAGATTTCCATCATTTTTTCCTCTTCAACTCGATCTGGTTTCTTTCTTTTTACGCGAGACTTGGGATCAAATCACCACCAGCACCACCACAACTTCCACCGTCACCATGAAGCCGCTGCCTGACATCTCCCGCTTTCGCAAGTACAACGACAAGTACAATGTGATGAACACGCCAAAGGGCGCGAAGCTTTTCGTCGCCGGCACGGTGGGCTTCCTCGTCTGGCACCACTGGTACTACGGCAACCCCGACACGATGGTCATCCGGCCCTTCCTCGGCATCACCGTCTACCTGAACCAGTTCCTCGCCAAGCACCACAACTACAAGGACTAAAGGTTGAAGAAAGCAGTTTTGTTTACAGCAAACAAAAGGGAGAAAAATCGCTGTAGAAGTGTGTTTATGCCGTAGGGATGAACCGAATGTTTGTTGATGATTATTTTAAAAAATAAATATGAAAACTGTACAAATCAAAGCA